CAAATGACACCCAATCCAACAATGCAAAAGACTTAAAAGTGACTATAAGAGCAATGTGGCTTCCTTAACACCTCAGGAGAGCTACAGGATAATCAGCTCCATGTCACATTCAGTAATTTATGCAAAAGGAGCTCCAACTCAGTATCGAGTGCATGTACCATAGATATAGTTTTCAGGAGGACCAAATATCTGTATTGAAAATCGTATCCTAGTTTTCAGAGACAGCAAATACTGGATATTTATTAGCATAAGCAATGAAATTTATCAATACAAATGCTTGAAATATATCATTCTGTATCTATAAATCTATTTACACAAGATTCACTCTGAAAGGAATTGGTGAAATAAACAATCTGTTGATATTTTTTTTATTAAGATCCCTAAATTATACCACCTCAATATGCTGCCTTTGCCGATTCATACTAACTGAGGCCAACACTGATCTTTTGGTTGCTAAACTAGACTAAAACAAAAACAAAGAATTGTCATACCACACTTGATTCTTACATAAGTCTAAAGCCTCCATTAAGAAATCATCATCATAATGGCAAGAGCAGCATGTTTCAGCATGCAAGGTCATTATTACACATGAACACATCTGCCTCTTCCTACACTTAGAACTTGCGCAAAGATGCGTCAGCAATGTCAGCACAATCTAAATTGCACCTTTGTACCTAAAAACAGGATGCCATTAAAGGCCAATCAGGTCCATCTTGAGTTACAAGGACTTTTTTGTGACTATGAAAGTGTGAATAAATGATGGTGAGTAGAAACTGGCATGTCAACCCAGGTCTGGCAGTCAAAGCTAGCCAAGAAGGACAAACCACATTTGATGTAGAAATTGGCAGCAGCACCTCTCTGTAATGTTGCAATCTACAGATAGATGATATCCCACCAACTCAGTTTAGTTCAAATCAAAGTTCAATCGAAAGTCGTGCATGTGCAATGACAAGTACGTTATTGTTAAGAGCTTTACAAAACTGTCCAAGTAAATCCCAACAAATATAGTTTTTTTTTTAATTAAAATCTATTAACCATGTGGTTAGATACTTCTTGTTGGATAAAAGGGTGCATAATTCTGGAAAATAAAAGTGGAAAAAAAGTACTTGTGAAATACAATAATGGTACTTTATCTAGAAATCAGATTTGAACCATTGAACCACATTGTTTCTACCTAGACTGATAATTAAACTCATAACATCAAGCTCTTTCATAATCCTTAAAAAGGCTATGTGACTTTTTGATCTCTTAGCGGTCTTGATGTTTTTAATTCTATTACTTTAAAAAGGCAAATGGTTTGTTTTTTTTTTATTTTAAATGTCTGTGGAATTTAAGTAAACATGGTCAAACACTGAGCAGAAGCTTCAATCAAACCAATGCAAAGATGTGTCATAACTGAGTTATGTATTAGGCCTGAAAACTGGGTGTAGTGATGAACTCAGACCTGAACCTTCCAAAGCAATTGCAAAACCAGAACATTTCCAGGATTAAACGACTACTGTCCCAGCAAGATCTTGAGAAACTCATTCATATCTTTAGTCTCATTGATTACTGCTATGATGTCTTTACAGGTCTGCCTAAAAAACATTCAGACAGCTTCAGTTGAACAAGAATGCTGCCACTCATGTTCTCACAAAAATGAGGAAAATAGAGCACATGACCCCAAATAATAAAACTGACATCTTGTAGCTCAAACAATAGGCCATTTATAGATCCCTGAATGGCTTAGCACTGAGATCCATGATAGACCTGGTGTCGTGTCAACCTTTAGACCACTCACTTCTTCTGATTCTAGTCTACTTTGCATCCCCGAACCAAAAATGGAAGAGCATAATTCAGTTTTTATGCTCCACCCATCTGGAACAAACTTCCTGAAAAGGGCTAAACAGTCAAAACATTGAGCTAATTTGAATCAAAGCTAAAAACTCACCTTTAGCCTTTGATTGATTAATAACTGGAACATTGATCAATATCTTCTTCTTTTATATATATCTTCTTTTTTGATGGCGTTTGACAAAACGTAATATTTATTGCTGTTTCATAATTGGCTACTGAATAATGTCTTTAAGGTGTAAAGAACTTTCAGCTGCCTTGGATGTTGAAATGTAAATGTCTAAACTGAGAGCATGTGTAATCAAAGTCAAATTTCTTGCTTGTGTGAATAGAACTGGCCAATAAAGCTAATTCCTTGTCGGAAATAGTGAGCTGTGGTTTCACAATTCACCATTTCCGTGAAGTGTTCACTATTCACTGTTCAGCTCAGTTCCTCGGACATTATGAATATCAAAGTAGAATAAAAAGCATAATGATGTTTCTAATAAAAAATATATATTATATATTTTATTATAGTAGTATTATAATAGCTGTGGTCCTGTTTTTAAACAAACTGAGTAAAGTCGGAAATGTTCTTTTAAAAAATTTTTTTAAACAATAAAATCATGGTATTATGGTACTATAGCGCTCCAGGAGCATTTATAGAGGCCTTTGCTGAGACAAGCATCCTGAAAAACAAAACTATCGCCATGAGTATTTCTTCTGATCATAATTAACTGATTTTGTTTACATTTTACTCCAGACTTTCCAGACTCTTTGCAGTTGTAAATATTTATCAGTTTGTCGGATTCAAACCACACTCTTTTCTACAACAAGCCAGACTTTTCAGGAATTATGGTTATTTTCTCCAGCGTATATGGAAATCGCATAGTGAGGCTATAAAAAGGCTTTGATGTTGCAATTGTCATGAAACCATGGCAGCTCATAAATGACCACAGAAACTTTCAATTAAGCCTGAAGCTGGGATGGTCTGGCCTCATTTTCCCCGCCAGCAGTTAGATGAGTTCACAACAACAGCAAGTGCATGCCTAAGAGGGCGTGTTGCGTTGGTTTGACTGCATGTTTCAGTCAGCCACTTTAAAGAGCTGGTTTTATGACTGAAAGCAAGAATGCTTTTCTCATAGTGTTAAACAGTTTATGGATATTTCAAAGATGTGAAAGTTAAAAAAAAAGCGCTTAAATTTTTGCAAAAATAAAAAAATTAAAAAAAAGTAGAAAAAGTGGAAGTGTTGACAGTGACCTACGGCTGTGCATCCTTAACCCCTTCAATTGTTGTGAAAAATTTAAATATAACCATATGTGAAGGTTTCATTAAAACTTGTGCTTTAAATTAACATTGGGAAATTACCAGCTGTCAAAGTAGATATGGAGATGGAAAAACATGCTTGGTAGGAAAGTTAACACAAGTGTCTTATTACTTGGAAGTCCTGCTTTCTTCACACCGAAAACTTTATTTCTGTTCCATTACATGACAACTTACAGTCATTTAAGGCCAGATCTATTTTTTGATTGGTTTATCCTGCCTCATTATTTTAGTTTTATTTCAATGGGCCCTTTCAAACAGATTGCAAAAAGAGATTCCTATGGTTTTGATTTAACTGAATTATCAGAATTCTTAGACCTGATAAGATTTCTGGTACCAAAAATATCTAGAGATTTATGAAATATTTATGATTAGAAACAACAGAACCAGAAAATTAGAAGTATAGAAAGAATGAAGGACAAGAAAAAAAGTACATAAGGAAAAAATAGAGGCAGGACATGAAAAAATGGCTAAAAATGGTTAAAGAAAGAAAGAACAAAGGGTAAGAGACATAATAGAGGAAAGAAATGAAACAAAGAAGGAAAAACAAAAATACAAAAGAAGGGAAAACAGAAAACAATGCAGAAAAGAAAAAAAATAAGTGAGGAAAGGAAGGAAGGACACAAGGATGAAAAAAAAGGAGGGAACTTTTAGACCATGGGGCATGAAGTCAGAAAAAACTCAATTTTTCCCAATCTTTTTACCCCTCTTTTCTACATACTTAAGAGACTTGGAAAATACTAAAATCAAATTCCAGACTAATTAATGCTTTTTAGGGGTGCATGGGGACCCCTTTTAATGTTGCAAAATCCTGGAGTTGCACCATAACTTTCCATGCTTTTCTTACCATTCCTGCTCTGCTTCACACTTGACTCAAAGGGCTTTTCTCCCTGTTGTCTGGCCTGCAGCATGCTAATGTTTTCCATCCGAAAATCAGCCTCTTATTCATGCCGCCGTCTTTTTTCTTGTCCTCTAAGGGGACTTTTTACCTGAGTCAGGATAAATCTAGTGCTTGGTGGAAACACCCGACCTGAGGCTGCCTGTCTGCTTCTGCTTTTTCTTCCCAGACTCAACCCCAAAGCTCGCCTACTGCCTCGACTCAGGGCAATAGAAGTGCAGCCAACAATGGTTGTCGCAGGTATTGAATGTACAGAAGCAAATACATTCTTTCAAACAAAAAAAAATTCCAGTAAATACGTCTGGCCAGCAGACTTTCCCTATTTAGATGTTGAAAATATCAACGGTCACAAGGACAAGTAAGGACATGTAAAGACATGTTTGATTCCATTTTCAGAAAGGGTAATAAAGAACTTTTGTAATATGTAGAGTGTGGTGAATCATGTCAAAATTTAAAAAGAAAAGGTGAGTAAGTATTCAGAGTTACTCATAGTTACGGATTAGAAAACTGACAAAACAAAACTATTCCCATTTATTGGAAGTAGGTTGTCCTGGAACAAATTTGCACCTGGTGCAAATCTTAAGACTGACAGATCTTAAGATCTATCAGTCACTATCACTATTTGTCACTTATGCACTGTAAACTGCATAAGGATGATAACCTTATTAAAACAGGAAATCTATTTAGCTTCTTTTAACTTGCCGAACAAATTTTTTACATGTAGACTGTCTTTCTGAAAATGTAGGTAGATGATGCAGAAAATAATCTTTTCAAACAAATGGGGTCAGTTACCAAGTAATTTTGCTTTTGAAACAAAAACAGGCTTAAGACAGCCCTCTGGCACCATCTACAGGCACAAATGGGTACTCCTCATGTAAACCTAAATTACTCAAATTAGATTGAAGGGTTGTTTTAGAATACACGAACAGTTCGTTTAGGAGTGTGTGTGTTACCTGGTGTACATACCTGGTATATCCTGAAGGGTATGTACCTAAAGCCTCCATCCTCTGTGGGATATTCCATCAGCTTCCTGTTCATCGCCCAAAACTGGTCAAACTTATCTGGAGTGACATAAATACACACAAACTGATCATCTATAAAATGACTATAACATTCAGCAACATAAAGCTACCAATGTCTGATGGAAACACTAAACCTAAAGCTGTTCTGAAGCTTACACACTACCTCAACTCAGACCAAAAATGTAGCAAAAAATAAATAAATAAACATGTCCTATTAATTTAATTTTTTTCAAAAAGTTTATTTGTCTTTTACACAGATCACAAAAGTATCCAGTTCAGAAATTTTAAATAGCAGATGATCAAATTCAGTCCGAAGTTCAGCAAGAGTTTGTGGCAGTAGTCAGGCTTGCAACAAATCTAAAGAAACCTCTGACTGAAGAATGTTGCTGGATGACAGTCTTATGGCTCTCATGACGGCTCAAGTTTCAATGGATTAGAGATATTCCACAGCAACATGACCTGGATGACACAGTCAATTGTTGGTAACTGCTAATCAATCTCTTTTGCTTTTGCTGCTTCACTTCAAATCTTTGTAGTCATGTCTAGTTACAAAGGCAGGTAGAGAGATTATTTGAACTTCCTCCTCCTCGTAGTTCAGGTATTGAGTTTTTGAACTTAGTCAAGCAAAATCAAGCTGACTCTACACATTTGTTTATTAGAGAAAAGTTAAGAACTGTCCATTTGCAATGGTTACTTCTATGTTGCAAATTGCATCCTTATGTGAAATATTGATGGTGCATTTTGAGGAGGGAACAAAACATCTTGTGGTTTAGACTTTCTGTTGGAGTCATGATTTAAAACAAGATACATGAAAACAAAAACAAAAAAAAAGAAAAAAAGTCTTCAAAAAGCACATGCTAGTTTCAAACCATCCATATAAACGTTCTGTTTTTTGTGCTTTTGGATGAAAGTTAAAGATCTCTCTGTTTCAATTCTCTTATGGACATGAGAGTTTTAGCTTAGATGTAGTTTCATCTCTCACTTTCTTCTGAAAGTTGACTTTTTCTTTTAGGATGATTTAAAACCTTTTGCATCTCTCAGTTCAAATAAGTAAAAAAAAAAACAAAAAAACAACTGAACCATACCCTGAACACCTCAGAACACAGTGGTATCAGTCAGCGTTTCCTCAAAATGACATTTTCTTGTACCTTCCTTGTTTTATTGAGATATGCGGTTTACTTCTTGCTCATGGTTTTAGTTTCAGGGAAAAGTGGAAGAGAGAAGAGCAACTGAAGGGTTGTCGGTTTGAGGCCCTTGGGTTTTTCACAAACACTTTTCACAACTGTTACGGGCTAAAAACGTAGCACTGAGAAACTTCAGAAGTTGTTTGCATAATAAAGAGCTGCTTCGGTGGTGATGCATCTCTACCCTTTCTAAACCCCTTGAATTATTTATATGGAAAATTAGTTTTGAGTTAATGTGCCTGTCAGCTTGTCAATAAAATAAAATGTAAGCAGAAAAACAAAAAACGAAAAACACAGGTAAACCTGGATTTCCCCACTGTGGGTCATCAAAAGGACATTTATATTCTATTCTAATTTGAGTATGTTGTGTAATTATTTTATTATTACTACTTATCCGTAGTATGTGCTTTCATTTGTTTGTGAATTTAATGTTAATATAAATTCATTTTACAACTAAGGGACAAAAGGTTAGACTAAAATAAGTTATGTAGCAAAGTAAACATGGACCTGGTGCAAAAAAAAAAAAATTATAGTGCAAACTATCCATGTAAATATATTCAGCACCGGCCCTGTACAAATTTTGTATTTCTAGTAATTTTTTGTAATTTTTTCCAGCGTCAACTCATTCTGCACTAGAAATTAGCATTGTGGGAAAGACATCTGTCCACAAAGCTAAAATTTAAATAGATGGTATTAGTTAACTGGAGGGGGTGCATATGTTTGTTTCTGGATGTTCTTGCCAAATGTTAGAAGAGTTTAAAGCTTCCAACAGCAGCTCACCGGGATGAGGAGAGGCCAGGTGTCTGTTATAGCAGTTTCCAATAAATTCGACGAGTTGGTAACAAGTTAGACAAATCAGACCATTCTTGAATCCGCCTCTTCTTAAATGGTGACTGTGTAAATGGAACTAGCAGGTGGAGGCCAGGGACATACACTCTTCTTTGTGTTTGTAGTGTAGACAAAAACACATTCATGTCTTTGAATGGGAAACAATGTGAAATGTCACCAGCACCAAAAAGAAAACCCTGTACATGTATCCTTTGAATACATGACTGAATCTTTCTCAAACAAACTAGGTGTGTCTCCCATATGATTTTGCACAGATGTGCAAGTGTGCATGTAGGTGGATGACTTGCAGAGAATTACAACATGTGTTGGGTGTTCGTCAGTAAATGTGTGACTGCAGGATTGAATGTCATTTCCCTTGCAGCTGTTTGTGGTCTGGATGTACACATGCATCTTACCGTTCTGCAGCCCCATCCACAGCTGTTTGTGGTCTTTCTTTTGCATGTCATTGACTACTTGGCTCTTGTGCTTGAGGGCGTCCGCCTCCTTGATGCTGGACATGAAGTGAGCCTCAACTATGGAATTTGATGGGCAGTGCAGTAGATCCTGGTCTGGGAAATTCTGCCAAACATTCACAAACAGACTGAATTAGAACACTATAAAAAGAAGAACTCCACACAAAAGTGGAAAGTATATTGCTTAGCAATGGTTTCCACATACTATAAAAATAAAATATTCGATTTTATCCAAGAACAATTCCATTTTTTGTTTTACAGAATTACTTGTAATTTGTCTTTATGTACATTTTGCATTACCTTGATGGTATTAGTTAACTGGAGGGGTTTATACATGTACAGGGTTTTCTTGTTGGTGCTGGTGACATTTCACATTGTTTCCCATTCAAAGACATGAATGTGTTTTTGTCTACACTACAAACACAAATTTTTGACCAATATGAGCTGTCTTAGTAGTCATAATATTGCTAATTGGTTAATAGTGCTGCAATGATGAACTTTTCATTTTCTAATAGGAGATGAAATATCAAACATTTTCTGTGTTCCATATATGTGCTGACATTCTGATTGGCTCTTACCTTAAAGCGCACAGTGATGTTCCAGGGTAAGACTGTATTAGAGGCATGAAGGTCAAACAGAACTCCAATAGGATAGTGCCTAGAATGCAAAAAATAAGTAAATAAAACCAGGATTTTTCTTAATCTATAATCAGCTCAAAAATACAATAACTTGACATTTTAACAGTATAACTGATTACTTTGCAACAGTGCCACTTTGTGGTTAAAACTGTCCCTACATTTTGTTTTTCTAAAGCAGGGGCGTATTGGTCCATATCAAGATCATGGATGTCTTAAAAGTGTTAATTCTGGCAGAATGTAATGATAAAACCCACTAACCTGTCTGCATTCAGTGAGTCTAAAGAGCTACATAAGAACTTATGGCAGACTGAAAGCTGTTCTCTAACTCCATGTTTGGGAGAGCAGAATCATCAAAATATTATCAAAACCAATTTAAGAAAGTTTTTCATTAGCAATTATATCTATCATTGATAATGAAGATTATAAATTTACACTAGCTAGAGCTATAAGTACTGATATACAGAACATTCAACCCATGACAATCTGGTCCAAAACAGGAAGGAAGAGTTAGAATAAAAGTATATTATTTCCAGTTGCATAACACGAGAAGCCATTCATACCATTTGAGCGGCGTTCCTTCATACTCGAACCACATTTCCTCCACATCCTCTGCCCTCATCACTTTGAGGAAGTGTTTCTTCACTTTGTCTGTGACAATAGGCAGATAGCTCACCCTGGGTAGCAGCAGCTGTCAAAGTTAACATGAAAGAAACAAAAACACATTAACAGTCAGCATGTCATTTTTTTATTATTAATCTCCCAATTTACTTGCATGAAGTTCAGAGGAAAAGAAACTAAACAAAAACAAGCACAGAACAACATTGGCAAAACAGTAACAAGTCTATGTAGAAGTATCAAGAAAAGAGGCTGAAGAACAAAATCACACCTGATTACGTTTAGAGTTTATCTGAATAACAGCCAAGCTAATACTGGCTCTTGGTTTGGACTGCCTGAATCAGAGCTGAAGCCCTTATTGTTTATGTAGTTACAAATTAAAAGCTGTGACATTCAGAAGGACAAATATGTGGGCTTCAATCATGAGTGCTACTCTAAAAGAAAAAGAATGCATTGCTAAAATGTAATGGAAAAAAAGACTAATTTACAAATTACATACAGGAACTGCATGTATTATTTTTGAGTCAGGTTTAAATCCGATTCATTTAGATATGATCTGTATTTTATTACCTAAATTAGATTAAACACATTTAAGTACAATCAATTTCATGACTTCAAAAAAAAAAATCAGCATCAGTCAAACATCTAAATATTTCCACAAGTTTCCCAGATATCAAGTCTTACATCATAGAGTGTATATATGCATAAAAAAACCTAATGATTTCTTTATTGATATATATGGAAATATATCTATATACTTATAGATATTTATATATCTATAAGTGTATATATATATATATATATATATATATATATATATATATATATATATATATATATATATAATATATATATATATATATATATAGTTTAAGTAGCAGAGAGTAACGGTTGTGCTTACATAGTATGCTTCTGCCTCTCTTTCAGTCACTTCATCCGGGTTCAGAGTGAAGCAGGTGGGTATGCGACCGAACCAAACATCTCTCAATACGTCCTTGTCATCTGCCATGGTGCTGCAGCTGGTCCTCCCAGTAAGACATAAAGAATTAGCACCCCCAAAGCAGAGCTGTAGCCCTAAAACTGAACGCTTCCTGTTGGCATAAACAGAACAGAAAGCATTCTACAAATGAAACTTTCAAAGCCACATAGCCGAATGATCATTACTCCAAAATCGTAGCTCCGCACTGTGTTCTAAGACATTGAAGTCTTAGGAGTGTTCGCCAATTCATAGATGATAAAACTTACCTGCTGGGCTTGCAAACTAACTCCAGGAATGTAAAACTACAACCGTGATCCACCTTATTGAGGTTAGCTTCTCTGCTAGCTAAGCTAACTTAGCTTGAGGAAACTCAACAAAGAACGGGTTAGTGAACTAGAGTGATTGCTGTCAGGTCATTATTTTTATGTCCCCGAAACGGGTAGTTAATATGCTCAGGAAAATACAATGTCATGTGGGAAAAAACCTTACTTTTTTGTCGATGTTTGACAAACAATCTGAATGGATAAACGGGCCCTACTGTGTTGTCATCCTCCTGCTGTCGCCCGGAAGACATCAGTTATAGCAAAGCCGCAACATAAAGCTCTTTATGTATTTTAATACTTTTTATATATTTGTATATTTTAGTCAATTAAATTAATAATTTGCTGGTTAAATTTTCTTAATATTTAAAAGTTAAATAATTTTCTTAAAAAATAAAAAAATCTTAGAAAAGTAAACGAGAACTGCAGCGTTACATCATCAATGTGTGACGCTACTTTAACGTAGCTTCAGAGGTTTTCTTTCTGTTGTTTGCTATCACTATAGCTCAGAGATGGACAAGAAATTGGATACGGACAACCTCGAAATGCGTCTTCAGGCGTTGGAGACCCGACTATACGGGGAGAGAAGAACCAAAAGTGGAAAACCTGTCAAGGTCTCGACTCCATAATATATAGAAATACACAGTAGTTTGCTATTAGCTTAGCATGACGATGCTTCGGACTCTTAGTGCGAGAATACGCCCTTGTAGAAAATGCTAACTTTGTTATTCGGTAACAGAAATTTCACACAGATTATGAAATGTAACATGACAAAGACGATTTATGTGTGTTGTTGTTGTTTTTTTGGAATACAAACCAAATGTTATTTTCAGTTTTTATTGAGTCAAGCTAACAGTTGACCAATTATGAGAACGTCAGTAATAATAATAACATTTACTTTATTAATTGAATACGAATTGCTCTTTTACATATTTGCACTAAATGTGATCATCATTAACCCTCCTTGTCTTCGGGTCATTTGACCCGAAGACAACAGGAGGTTGTTCTTATTTTTTCGTCAAGTTCACATTGAATTGCTCCAGCAGAAAATTCCATCTGAGTTGTGAACACTGTAGGTCTGATTCAGGACTGTTAGATTTCAAGTTTCTGTATGCAGTTGCAATTAAAAAAATGTTTATAAGGGCTTGTCCTCGGGTCATGTAACCCGAGGGCAACAGGAGGGGGGGGGAAATTTGAAAAGATATCAGTTTTACGGAGATCAGTGATGCCATTCCATACTGTTTGCCTGTCCAGCTGTAATTTCCTTAGTCTTCCGGTCAGTCTGACCTGAGGCCTGGGTTTGGTTATCTTTATTTCTTTTGTAAAGTTCACATTTGGATTGCTTGAGCCTAAACTTCCCCCTGAGTTGTGCACACCATAGTTCTGATGCAGGACTGTTAGATTAAAGTTTCTGTATGCAGCTGCAATTGAAAACATATTTTTTAAGGGCTTGTCCTCGGTCGACATGAGCCGAGGACAACAGGAGGGTTAAACACGTCTTGACTAAGTGACCAGCAGCAATGGTTTTTGCCATAGGGGTTGTCTTGCAAGCGCATCTTGTGATGTGAATAATAATAAAAAAAACTTACAAAGACTTACTTGTTTTGCTGAAATGTGTAACAAAGAATGAAACGCCAAATATGCACTGACTGGGGGGGAAAAAATACTGTATTTTATGTTGTAGACTTTAGTAGCTGAACTTTGGTGCTTATGTTTTCTTGTGGTGAGGATAATACAAAGATCACAAGAAGGTCTGTGTTCTATTGTACTTTTTCCCATACATTCTTTTAGGTGATACTCTTTGTTTTTCCACAGTGTGCGGAAGCTTTGGTCAGAATTCAAGGAGGTTTGATCAACACGGCCAACAAGAGAGAGAGAGTAAAGATCCTCCACAAGAAGAGTGGGTCTCGCTTTAGTTTGACTCATCAATTAATTCATTTAGCCTTTTTGAAACTCCTTATACTGTTTCATATGGAAACAGGAGGGAAACGGTGTCATTAAATATTTATTGATTGCTATTCATCAGCAAAGCTTTTGTTTCCATGTATCAGTTTGTCCATCCTTCCAGTCAGTGTATTTAAGTTGTGGAATCCTGTAAATGTAAACAATATTTCAGTGATATCTATTAATAGCAATATTTCAGTTTGAAGACATTTCATTTGGGAAATGTTATGTCTGTAAATACATTCATTTTTAAATCTTATGTTTGTATTGTACAGTTGAGGACCTGATGAAGTATCTGGACCCCCAGTTCACTGACCACATCACTCTCCCTGATGCTATGAAACTAGAGTTCATCCTTGCAGGTAAGAGCTAAGAGGACATTGTAGAAATGCAAATTTTAATGTCTCTCGCCTTTTGCTTTTTGTGCCTAATGCTTTATGTGGTTTGCAGTACAGTCTACTGAGTATTTCCAAGAACACTTATATAAATTTGGATGTCGCAAGGTTGTTTATGGATGTAAGGAAGAAAACAAATGTAGTTTTGGTGTCTTGATCTTGGTATAATTTTATGTTTTAATGTCTTCTATTATATTCATTTGGAGGTTGCAAGATTGTTCATATGAATTCAGAAAAAAAAAAACATGTATTCTCACTTTATTTTTATTCATAAATTGTATGTACTTTAATGCAAAGAAATGCCCAACCAGGGACCGGAGTTGAATTAGTTGTGGTTATATACTTTATGTACTCCCTCTCGAATAAACTAATAAATAAAATGTATTCTGTGTTATTCCATAGAGGAGGACTCTTTGCTCTCTGACGCTGCTTTGTTGGAGCAAGTTAACAATTTACAGCCACTGTTGGACAGCACCCACATTAGAGGTTTGAAACATGGGAATTGTATGAAACTGTGTCAGCACTGTCATGGAACTGAATTAGGTTTTATTGTTGTTTATTTATGTTTTGCTAACAGTTGAATTAAACAGAAACAATGCTTAGTATATTGGATTGATATGTAAATTTCAAGTTCATTACCTCTGCAATACAGTGTTCATAAGTGTGTCTTGTATAATTACAGTATAAACTGAGGGGAATGCTTATTATGACGTTAGGTTCTTTTTGAAGCCTGTGTCAACTGTTTTGTACTGTCCACAGATGTACCTGAGCATGCAACCAAGCTGCAACGTCTTTCACAGATTCACATCAAACAACAGGTAGCTATACTGCTCTGAATCTTACTACCATGTGTTGTTAAAAACTTTGTCACAAATGTGTTGCTTTCTAATGCATACTTCATTTTAACCATAATTGTACATTAAAAACCTGTTATTGTTATATATTTTAATGTGTTTTTTCTTTATTGTTTTATTTATCTTTTTTTGCTTTCCCTTTTCTCTTTCTATTGTTCATTTTCTAGTCTCTCCTTTGCTCTGTCTGTTGTTTATGGTGAAATTGTACATCTATTACCATAATAAAGTTGGAAAAAGCAACAACAACAAACAGAAAAAAAAAATCTGAAAACAAATATGGTGATTTCTTTTTTCAGGACCAAACTGAAGCTCAGTCACAGGAAGTCAAGAAGCTTTTTGAGGAATACAACAAAATGGTACACGACACAGAATAAACTCTTAGTTTTATTACAATAAATCATGGTGCAAAACAGCCACAAAAATATATATGATATATAATCAAGTTCATTTTCTATTATGCCTTAAATGGAAGAATTACAGTTTCAAAATGCACAAATACAGTTTCTTGTATTTTTAGCAATCATTCTGTTTTATAATTGATTCATAAAGAAGATTGATTTCTGTTTGTTAGATGTTCCTGCTTTCCAAGCAGTTCACCCAATGGGATGAGACCCTGAGGAAGATGGAGGAGGCCAAAGGAATCCGACCTGTGGAGTAGTTGCTCTGAGAAAAGCTGAAAAGAAGATGACGATGAAGAAAAACACTGCACTATGATTGGAGTTCCCGAATAGACGTGTTACATTATGTAGCTCATGCTACGAGTAAGTCAGAGGAAAACAAAAACATTTCAACATATTTTCTTGTTTACTTTTCTTTTATTCCAATTAAATATTGCTGTTGACTAAATACTGTCAGTGACTTTTAATGCAAAGTTACAGAGTGAAATGAAACTGAGGCTTGTGGATCTTTATACATTGTGAAGAAGAGCATGCTCTTTTTATATTACAACAAATTTAAGAGACTACTCTTATTTATTGACAGTAGTGCTTTTTAGCTTTTCATTTTAACTTCAACTTTGTTCCTTCCAAATTACTTGTATTTTGCCTTTTTCTTCTATAGAAGCAAATTAACTGCTTTAATTTTTCGTCTTGTTAGATAAAAAAAGTAAAATGTTAAATATTGTGTTTCTAAAATGTGCTTTTCTGTGTATAAATTGAGATAAAGCTTGAAAATAATTAAAGTAGCTTTAAATATTTTTCTATTTGTCTGTTTGAAACTGCAGACTTTGTGTTCTTCAATGCAGATGGTCTCCAAGCTGCAACAGATTATCCTTCCACAGGTGCGGTGTCTGTGTTGACATCTCTGAAACTCTGTCTCCTAAACGCAGGCGCATTCACAACAATCTTCTTAATTTTTGTGATGTGAGGACCGTTGTGACTTTTTCCTCAAGTGTGCCAGCAAATGCTTCTTGTCAAACTTATCATTTCCAAATATGAGACCCTCACCAGTCATATTGAACTGCAAATAAAACACAAGGACTTATACACATCATGGTTAGGTCATTACAAAAAAATTACATTAATAGAGTAGAAATAATTTAATCGGTTTATATATTTCTGATATTGCTGATTGTTACTTTTGTATCTGCTAATATTTTACACTTTGGATGGAGTTGCTTTTCAACAAATATGCGATTTTCCCCTCAAGTATATTCTGTTCACAGAACCTCAGTTGAATTAAGCTTTAACATAAGCATATACAGCACATTATAAAGTAATAAGGATTGTGTCTGTACATAGCTTTTGAATTTATGCCAATTTGATGAAATTTGAGGCAAATGTCCACTTACGGTCTTGCTGTTGATCTTATTTTAACTTTTAAATAAGATTTAAAATTAGTTTTCCTTTATACCAATTAACAAATAACAAAAACAAATGGCAACAAATTAATTAAAACATCTAGTAATTAATATATATAAATTATGTATCATCAATCTAAATTAGTAATGTACAGATAAATATCGAGTTGCTGAATTTAAGTGTTTGTTTCCTTGAGGAATTTTTATACACTATATTGTGAAGACTTTATTCCATTTATCAAATCACTTAAATTCAATGTGTATGGACAGATACAATTTTCACACTACAAATATATAGATCTGTAAGATAACCAGCAAATAGAAAAATGTTAATGTTAATCCCTGTACTGTTGATAATTGAGAAAAGACTATACCTTTTGCTGTTTGTTGGCGTATTAAGCCTACATTCGGTAGTTAGGTATGTTGACAGACAATCTGTTTTGATGACTGAATGAAAATTTGACATTTTCTAAATCATTGTTCCTTCTTCCATGTTTGTGCTTCTAAACATAAGATGCTCAAAAACTGAGAATAACGTTTTACGTACCTGCACTGCCACCCTGACTCCATATCGGACGTAGGTAGCAATGTGTTCACAGTTGTTGTGAAGGAAGCCATATATTCTGCTGCTCTGATACGTTTCAGTGATTCGTTTAATTATGTCCTTGTCATCTCCTTTACCATACGTCACTCCTGTTAAGGGGTCCGTATAGCCATCAAGGAAATTGTTCACTTCCGGTTCTTCATTCGTTTTCAGTTTAGCAAATTTACACAATTTGCCATGATATTTCTCTGTAAACAAATAATAAATGAGAAATAAGCAGTTTATCAGTATAATTTATTACTTGGATTGTTGCTTACTGATATTTACTTGCTAGTTCATAAACGTTGTGCTCTGCATTTTTCCCACAAATATTTTCATCTCCCACATAGACAGCAAAATGTTTGTATCTAATTCCAGCTTTACACTTTGTTTTATAAGAAATTATGTCTCCAAATTGGAACTGTGGATGGAAGAAAATGCATAGTCATATTTAGAGTAAACAGAAAACGATTAAACTAACTGAAACCAAAACATTTGGATATAATTTTTTAAAATGCTGCTATGATAAAGGAAATTAACTTACTCCACTCATTTCTAGAGTTGTGATCATTTGCTGAAGGATCACATCCACCAGGGTAGCTTCCTCACATTTTAAGCAGTCCAGATCTGAGATGGACATGTCAGACTTGTGAAACAATTTTTTAAACTAAAGTCATACAACTTCAGAAAGCCATTTTCTATAATGTTAAAAAGAAAAAAAAAATGTATGTCAGATTGTGTCTTATCTTTTAGGAGTTGAACCAGTTAAAGTCGTTTCAAAGGTCTTACCTTTATCTGAAACACATCGAGTTTAATGAATCAAAGGAAATGTACACGTACACTTTTGAACAATACTTCTGACTTGTCCTGCACGTGTCCAGTTCTGTCCTTCAACAAACTATGAAAAGACATCTCTTATCTGCTTCTATGTTTGCAGAATGTTTGCATGATTCTCGTACGACTTTCCCATGAGCAGAACAATTTCCCTCCGCAACTATTTTTATTTTGTTCTCAACTGGCATCTGTTGCCCCTTGCAAGATAAGCAACATTTATAGCAGTCATTTAGGAAAATGGATTAAAGTACTAATGTTAAATGTCTCTCTTTGCTATAAAATAGAACACAATAAACCTCAAAAGCTGATTAAAAATTTTAATATAGGGAAGCAGTCTAGGGTAGTCCAATTACTTTTTTGTGTGCAGAGCCAGTGATGCAGGTGAACACTGTATTATACTTCATGTATGCACACAGTGACTGTAAATGTAAATTATGTAAATTTTTACTGCTGTCTGCTGCAATGTCTCTTATGCAGTGCCTTATGAAAGTATTAATATCTATTAAACACAAATTGTGACACATTGTAGCCACAAAGTCATTGTGTCTTATCAAAGTTTAATGAGACAGAAGTACAGGTCGAAAAAAAGATACATGATTTGTAAAAAAAAAACAAAAAAACAAAAGAAACTGAAAAGTGTTGTTTTCAGTCACTCCCAAATAGACTTGAATTCTTGTTTATGAATTCATCAGAAAGGTTAGAGATAAAGCTATAAAAATGTTTGAAGCAGGCTAAGTTATAAAACAATTTAATCAAAACAAAAGAGAACCATTGACATTGGGGGAGAAAATTTGCCAGCAAGTAAAGAAAAAATTGTTGCGAACACCACAAATCTGCTTGTGAAGTAATGTCAAGAAAAACGGCTTTATTGAAATAAAATAAGAAGAGGTAAAGTTTCACAAGTTGCAAGGAATGCACAGCAGACTGGACAAAGATGCTGTGGTCAGATGAGACCAGAAAGTATTCATTTGGTTTGTCTTCAATGTGATTTATGTTGAGAAAAATTGACAATCTGAATATTTTTGGCAATTTATTCAAGGTTTTGTTGTTTTTGAGGTGAAAAGTATTGATTCTGTGGGATTTTAATACAAACACACTGCAATGCAAATAATTTAAAGAAGTTAAAGGCCTGTCAATACTGCTGCAAACCACTGTCCATCCTGCTGCTGATCTTCATAACAGTTAGATGTTTAATTTGATGATTCAGCATTTCTGGTAAGTTTATACTTCCACCCACAGGCCTACCTAGCAACCAGTCATGTTCATTGCTTTGCTAATTATTTATTCTTTAGAAACTAATGTCTTAAATGAAAGAAGTTCCAGAAAATAAACAGAAAAGCTTGAATTGACAAAGACATCAGCACATTTTAAATTAGACAAAGACATTATTCATTGTGTTAGCACCCTGTTCTCAGGTAATATTTAACACAATCATTTTTAATCCTATAAAGCTCTGCAGAATCTTACCTCCAGTAAAATAGTGGACATCTGCTGAGGAAGTGAGGCAGCTATAATCCATCTGAATAGTCCTGCCACTGTTTCCCAGACTCATTTGAATGAGCCACCCCTCAGAATGAGATTAACACTCATTCGTTTTTCACTTGAGAACATCGGTGCTAGATGGAGAGGGTTTATATATCAGTTCTGCCCTCGAGATGAGTTATTTTTCAGGTTCAACTTTTATTTAACACATTTAACTTTCAGCTTATTTTCTAGTTGGATGTAGGTATTTCTCATTTCTGCTGCTGTGAAAATTGTGACTTTTGTACTGATGGTTGGAATAAAATAACACATTGGTTATATATTAACTACGCTATAATTTATTGGTGATATGGTCAAACTTCATCTATGTATGATATTTGCATGTAGTTTGTCATACTTATCTGAGGAAATCCAGTCTGAGACAGTTATGAGGGATGGATGTAATTCCCTGGCGATTATGCAAAAACTCACTTTATTACAGGTTAATTGAAATATAGGGTGGCATGCAAACTGCTTATAACTAAACTTCCCATGGCACTTTGTTTTAAGATATTATATCTCTAAACTGAAACTGTAAATAGAACACGTGAGATGTGTCTGAGGAACACTTTTCAGCAGTAAATGTTTTAACCAATTGTAAAATGAAATCAAAATCAGATTAGATTAGCCACCATCTTACTCTATTTGCTTCTAGTGTTGTGACCACTTCCCAGATCACAACTACCAAGATCTCACTCATTTTTCCAGCAGTTAAGATCTATAAATAACACAAACACAAATTGTCATTGATGCAGAATCTAATGAAGGAAATAAAATCTAGTTTATATTTAAGTCTAAAGAGGAGTGAAGATTAATTGCACTTAAAAAAACATTCTAAAGATTCCACATTTTTATTTCAGTTTAATCAAAATAAATTTCACTGAAAAAAAATATTTTTTTCCACTTTTTTATTTGGTTATATGAATAAATTGAAATATTCTTTAATTGCAACTTTTCATGATTTAATTCTAACTGTTATGGTTTAGTTAGCTAAACCTTAATATTTAGAATTGAGTCATACAATGTTGAAATTGAAGAATATTTTAAGTAAAGCACTGTGGAAATAAATGACCAAAATTTATTACAACAGTCTTACTTTCAAAGATGGACAAGCCAGCTGAAGAAGTGGGTGACATCAAAAAGCTTATTTTCTAAAGGTACACATACAGATGAATGGATATTTATTTTAAAACCTAAATTACTTTTAAAAGTTTAAAGGTAATTTCATACGATAAAATTGTACACTGGAGGTTTTAAGAGACAGGAACATTTGCCTAATTCCATGTCCCGGTTATATCTTTCCAAGCTTGAATCTGCAGCTACCTCTTAGTCATTTTCATATCTGGAGATATTTCAGTTTCCCTTTGCATCTACTGTTTAATCTGTTTCTGTTATTGTCCTTTCTTTAAAAGAACTTGCAACAGGGTTGGCTTGCCTACTTAAACATTTTTTTTTATTAGAGAAAGACCATACCTAATGCAGTTAATACTAACTGCATTAAAATGAAAACATTTCCTCCACAAAACATGGTGGATCTCCCTCATACAAGGTGTTATGTGTTCTTATATTAATATTTGTATTATAAAACCAGGCTGTACACTTTAATACATCTTTTAGATGGGAGATTTCTTTTGCATCTCTGCACATTTGATAAAATAAATTTTAAGAATAGTAGAGGGGAGAATAGCTCAAAACCAAAAACCTCAAGACTAAGAGTAGTTTGTTAGGATAAACATAGCTTTTGAAAATAGCATTTAAGCAAGCTTTTTTTTTTTTTTTTTATGTCTGAATGAAAACCAACTCACCATGTTTCAATGTAATTGTATTTTATTTTCTTTAAGCGGACATACATTTTCATTTGACAGATTATTTATTTGTTCATTTGTGGCATCTTTGACCCTGAAAGATTTTGAGAATGTTGTAGTTCGGGGATGTTTATATAATTACAGCTTATCATAAGTGAGAGCAACCAGCCTCTCTGCATAGACGATCTTTGCTTCCGTGTGCGAGCAGTACCAGTAGGAAGGCGCCCGTTGTTAATCGGAGGAGGACGGGACTTCTCGTACGGCGGGCTGGTGAGCGGCAGCGCAGCGGACCGTCATGGACAGGACGGCCGTGGTGAAGGTCGGAGCCGCAGCCAGCGCCAGTGTCTGTGTCGTGTTCGGCGGTGTGGCGCTGGTCCAGTACATCATAGCAAAGAAGAAGCGAGCTGGGAAGAAAACGAGGATCATAGAGATGGTAAGTTAAAGTACTCTCTAACTGCGCTGTTAAATAGCCAAACGTTGATAAGATACAGGAAGTGGGATGTGTGGGCTTCAAAATAAAGCTCTACTACATTTAGATTGGATCATTACCCAGGCTTGTTGGCGACATTTATTATAAAGATCGTTACCGGAAAGAAGACCTCGAGCTTATTTTTATCTGAGCACAGTTTAACTTGGTTGATGCACTGCGCCTGCGCAGCTTGTCCCCCTAAAACGGAATCTGTTAGAGGTCACCAGCCAATTTTTACCGGACAGAAGGACCTGCACACTTTCTTACTTTCATTTCAAAGTCTTAGTTCTCTGAGCTCTTGGTCAGTTCCGCTCTCTACCAACCTCTCATTGCCCCGAAAACAGCTTTTTGCTGCTGTGTTCGCTTGACCAGGCTTCCTTCAGGTTATGCAAGCTTCTGCATCACAAACTTGCATTGCATTCACATGGAAACTGCATAAATAACCCTGAAATTATTTCAAGTTCAGTTAAGCACTATTTAATTGCATACAAATATTATTCGACAAAGCCAAACTTTTTTCTGGGTCCCATGTGCAATAATATTAAATTTAATAAGCTCAAATAGATACACAAGATAAAACAAGAGCAATGAAATACACTTAGCGGTATAGCATT